CATGCATGCTCGCTCTCTCTCTCTCTCTCTCTCTCTCTCTCTCTCTCTCTCTCTCTCTCTCCCTCTCTCTCTCTCTCCCTCTCTCTCCCTCTCCCTCTCCCTCTCCACTTCTGGCAGCTGCTGCCCAGCGATGGGTTGTGTGCAATGCAAGAAAAAGAAGGCGAACCCAACTCCTCCCAACAACAACAACGATGGAGCCAACAACTCACTGCCCAACTCCTGCTACGATCCTAACCCCTCCCAACAGAATCCTCCCAACTTCACACGGATCCCAGATTTCAACAACTTCCCAGGGACCCCAGGGCCTTTGACTCCAGCTGGCCCTGGGGTCTCCGGGCTCTACCCAGCACCCTCCATTCACATTCCAGGAATGGGGATCACAGGTCAGTCTTTATACCTGCTAGGGAAAGGATGCTTGGATTCAGATTTTCCTTTCCCCCTCTTTTCTCTCTTTGAGCCCCGGTGGTGCAGTGGTTAGAGTGCAGTACTGCAGGCTACTTCTGCTGCCTGCCGGCTGCCTGCAATTTGGCAAATCAAATCTCACCAGGCTCAAGGTTAACTCAGCCTCCCATCCTTCCAAGGTGAGTAAAATGTGTACCCAGATTGTTGGGGGCGAGAGGCTGATTCTGTAAACCGCTTAGAGGGGGCTGGAAAGCACTGTGAAGCGGTATACAAGTCTAAGTGCTATTGCTATATCAATGATTGTAAATCATATTTTTCAGTTGGTTTAGAGTTTCAGGATGGTGTCTGATAAGTAAGGCCATCTTTTCAAAATGATTATTTGTTGTCCGTCCAATGAATGAAGGTAGCCAGGAAATGAAGGTAGCCAGGAGGACTATGGAGAAACCTGTAGGCAAAACCAAACCCCCAAAACAAGAGCACCCCTAGGTGCTGTTGTGAAAATAAAATAGCAAGAGCACTTAGACTTATATACCGCTTCACAGGGCTTTACAGCTCTCTCTAAGTCAGTGTTTCTCAACAATGCTGGCTGGGGAATTCTGGGAGTTGAAGTCCAGACATCTTCAAGTTGCCAAGGTTGAGAAACACTGCTCTAAGTGGTTTACAGAGTCAGCATATTGTTCCCAACAATCTGGGTCCTCATTTTACCCACCTTGGAAGGATGGAAGGCTGATGAGCCTGGTAAGATTTGAACTGCCAAACTGCTGGCAACAGGCAGTCAGCAGAAGTAGCCGTTGCACCTGACAAATTTGAGAGGAAGAACCACAGAAGGCCATTTGGGCAGAGGAGAACATTTTCATGCCATTGGAAGGCACCGTGACTTTTCGCCATCTCTGTCCTACTATTCCAAAAAAATAAAAAAATAAAAATGGATGCATTGAAGGGTCTTTCAATGGACTCAGTCAGGAGGCCCTCAATGGCAATGCATCTAAGGCTGAGTTCATCCCGCCCAGCTTCTTTTGGTCCATCTTTCTTTCTCTCTTTGTAGGTGGGGGAGTCACCCTTTTCATTGCCTTGTATGATTACGAAGCCAGAACAGAAGATGATCTGACATTCATCAAGGGAGAGAAATTCCATATCATCAACAACACGTGAGTGTTGGGTTCTGACATGATGGGAAAAAACAGGACAGCTTCCTTAGCAAAGCTAAACGGCAGTGATTTTCTGGATGGGGACAACCACGCAATTGCATTGCTTTCAGTTTCTTCATGGTGGGATATAAATAAAGAAAAAGGAACTCTCAGTCTAAGCGAGGAGGTGAAGTGGCCCGGCCTTTTTTTAACTTCTGTCTGTGGAATTGCACACCTGGGACAGCTGTGGGCTGGGTTTAGCTTGATACACCTGGGTGTCCATGTGCAATGCAAGCAATGCCATGTGAGTTGCAGGGAAATCTCTGCTCCTCTTTATTTATTTATTTGTCAAGCATGTTGTCAGCATTCCAGATATCATCGCAGAATTAAATCAGAGTCAAAGGCAAAACTATGCTTAAAGTTCCAATTTAATAAGGCAGGCATGTTGGCATCGTGCTATGGGATCCCAATTCTGNAGAAGCAACCTAGAACTAAGGAGAAATTTCCTGACAGTTAGAACCATTAATCAGTGGAATAACTTGCCTCCAGACATTGTAAATGCTGCAACGCTGAAAGTTTTTAAAAAGGGATTGGACAACTATTTGTCTGAAGTAGTGTAGGGTTTCCTGCCTAAGCAGGGGGTTGGACTAGAAGACCTCCAAGGTCCCTTCGATCTCTGTTATTCTTTCTATTCTGTTCATTATCCCTGACTTTTTCTGATGGTCAAATAGCAACCTTACTCTATCAATAAGACCATGAATCTTACAAGCAGATCTCCTGTTTCAGAAGGGAATCTTTCTCCCCTTCTCCAAGTTCTGATTTCTCATGCCACTTCAGTTATTCTTTACTAAGCAAATCATATATGTGTGTTGAATGCAAGTAGTCCTTGACTTACAACTATTTGTTTAGCAACTACTCAGAATTACAATGGCACTGAAAGAAGTTATTTATGACTGACCCTTGCAACATCCTCGTGGTTACAATGATCAGTATTCGGGTGCTTGCCATCTGGCAAATATTTATATCAGTTGCACCATCCTGGACCACAGCAGAAGTCATAAATTGGACATGACTCACTTAACAACCATCTTTGTAGCAAAGAAATTCTGGTCCCCATTGAGTTTGTCAGTAGAGGGCTACCTGTTTTAATTTAATGCACTGTATTGGTCATTTCAGTACAATTTTGGGAACACCCAAAGAGCTACTTTTATTTGTTTTTGTTAATTTTATTTCATTAAACTTAGGGTAAAGAAAAGCCTAGCCCTCTGCAAATACCAACATGCCAGCGGCTGCAGTTCAAAGATTGCAAAATGATGTCATCCAAATTTGACTCTAAGGGAGTAATAGCAAAATCTAATATTAGCAGATTCAGGGGGGGAAATGGTTGAAGCAAAATTGTGTTGTAGCAAACTATGGCATAGTGCAAGGAGTGAAGGTAAAGTCTGCTTAAGACAGCCTATAATTTCGGTTAAACCTGGTATGATATGGAGAACTATCCGTTGCTATTCGCAAACTTTAGTATATGGTGCCACCTGTTGTATGAATCAACTTAGTTGGGGAGCTTATTCAGTAAACGATGGTTAAACAAACCATGCATGCTCGCTCTCTCTCTCTCTCTCTCTCTCTCTCTCTCTCTCTCTCTCTCTCTCTCTCTCTCTCTCTC